CCCCCCCCCGCCTTCTCCTCTGACCAAATTATGCGTTTATAACCTTTCTAATGAGTTTTTCGGTTACTTTTGTGACAATGGGCGTAATTTTTGTTCCTTAGAACTAAACAAGATACATTTTTTGGCCTTTTAGGTAGCCTGTCCCCGTCTAAGCATTGACTGGGGAGTTGAGTTTCAGAAGCCCCTTTTGACACCCTATGAGGCAGCAGTTGCTCTGGGAATGACTCAGGGAGACTGGAGTGATGCGAACCCATACCCCACTGACTACTATGCCTACGACAGCTTAGGCCCCTGGACACCTAACCACGCGGGCAATTTAAGCAACAGATCTCTTGGTACAGGCAAAACAGCCTGCAAGAAGAAGGCCTCCAATACAAATAGTTGCTGTGGAAAGCATCAATGTAAATAAAATGTAAATATTAAACAACTCTATACGCGCTTCCTTTGTATTATAAAACTCAATATACTGTACAATTGCACTTCAATACTGTTTTCCTTTTGGGAAAGTCCAGTTGCTTATGCAATTGAATCTTGGATGTTGGCGTGGTGGTCAAGGACAATGCACTCCCGATGTTCAATGCTGACAAATAATGAAATGGCGACCTGCGAATTATGTGATCAAGAAGGATCATATATATATACTGGCGTTTTCTTAAACACGTAGATCGCTAAGATAGAATAATTGCCGCATGATACGGTACCTAAACCTGTTTCAGATGGTAAGTTGCTACTTGTGAGGAGAAATTGCACTTTTAACTCCGGTTCGCCTTTCAGATTCAGTTGTGCTGCGTTTTGTGTAGAAACTTGGTCTAATAGTAACAATAACGACATGACCATATTAATATTGCCAAAATATAACTAAGATATTTCCAAATTGCCAAGTATATTGACGAAATTAAGCATTTTCACAACACAAAAATCATGTGAACCAATAATAATAAAAGAAAGTGACTGCCACTCTCCCCCTCGTTAAATGGAATACCAAAATTGAAAGACTAATCGAATAATAAAATTCAAGCCAATCATGAGGCAAGAGCTGGTATCATGAAGACCGAACGGCTGTTGACGATTCACAGACCAGTTCTAAGATTCAAAGCACTTCTAATTAAGACATGAACAAAACTGCTTTAAAAATTCATCGAACCAGCTCTTCTTTGGGGTGTTCACCGTTTTCTATCTCAAGGCGTGCGATAACATATTAAGGGCTGCTCAGAACATGGGGGAGGGGTGCTGGGATGGCATAACAAAGTAAAATGAGCGACGAAGCACTGAGAGGAGAAGCTTCACTGGGATAACTCACCAAACAATAGCAGAAGAGTGGGTTTAACCTCTGGGAAAGTCAGTACAAAGTAGGTGAAGGGATCGCAATGTCATTGCAGAATTTAGCATAAATTAAATTGGGAGAATAAATGTTCCCCATAAGAGGTTTGCAATAGACTTACATCCACGTGGAGCACCCTGGGAAACATATACTCATACTGCAAAAAAGTCCATAAACCGACAGTTGACTTCTGACTTCAAACTACCATGACTCCACAGTATGTCATATTCGACCAGTCACGACACTCGTCTTACCTTTTCTCTACCTTTGTGTTTGTCTGTCTCTTCTGCGTCAGTGATTCACTCTTCTGTTCCCCTCTCGAATTTTCTCATCTTTATATTCCTCCCTCCGTGAAGCCCGAAGTCAACCAAATGGATAATGATAACTATTCAAAATGACTGCTATTTGAAATAATGATAATAATAATAATGATCATCATACAAAAAGCTAATAAAGGCAGATCAATGTGTTCGCTGAGAAATGGAGTACAGTTTGAATAAACAATGCCAATAAGAAATGCACTTCAACGCACATTAGAAAGCAAATAACGGTAGAAAAGGAGAAATAGTCTATCTCATGAGATAAGATAGCTGCGAAATCGAAATTAAAATATATAAAATTCAAAAAAACGGTCGATTTTATTCCGAGTTGATGGGCACCACAAAACGGACGCTTGCGGGACTAACTGAAAAAAATGCCAACAGGAATTTTAATAAAGCAATTTAAGAGCAAAAAGCACAACCGTTTTGATTATCAAACTTATCGTGAAACTTAACGACATTACTTAAATCACTTCTATCACCCAAGATTGATACATTTGTTTTCAATAGATAGCAATAATAAAATCGGAATAATTTTTTAACAATATACACATTGCATTTTTAAAACTGATTACACCTGAGTTCGCGTTAGAATCTATATAGATTAACAAACACAGCATTTAAAGTAAAAAGTTAAAGTTGTATAAAATATATAAACAAAAAGACCTGAGAATAGCAGAATAATTTACTAAAGAATCACAGACTGCCACAAGAAAAGGAAGTTTGGGAGCTTTGTTCTAATGAGACGAAGACTACATTTACGCATATATAGGAAGGTTTTACATAAATAAAAAGTTTTGAAAGCATAGAAAAGATTTAATGTCTGTAAAAGAGACCTTCTGGATTCACTTCTTCTTGGCGACCTTGTTCTTTTTCATTTTGGAAGATCGAGGCTCATTGAGTATATTGTAAATCTTCCATACACAAAACACCGCAAAAAGTACGAAGGCTATTGCAGGAACAATGAAAACAGCATTGTTTATTGTCTTCTTTACAGGGTGATCGGGACTTGTTAGCTCCACCATAGCCAGCACCAAACACAACGCAGTAAAATACTATACGCACCGCCGTCAATGTGTTATAAATACTGATAAGTTAAAAGTTATTCCATGAAAGTGTTCGTAATTCTAAAATTTTATATATGAAACCAAAAATTAACAAATGCGATTTTTTTCCATTTTAAGCGCTGTATATCTCATAAATAATTATCTGCAAAGGATTTAAATTTATGAGTTTTTATCATTTACGTTCCAAATTATTGATTTCCAATAACCGAAAAGTAGAATATTTTTACAACGTTTTTTACCAAACCGTTACTTTGCAAAATTGCATCGATTTACCTTCTAGTCTATCGCGAACAAATATTTCTACTGTGCTAAACATTAAGAAGTTCGGATTGTTTAGTTTCAAAAGTATGGATAGAAGTTGAGGATTACATGAAAGCAAAAAAACAATTGACAATTTGAATGGTTTTTATTTTGGTATATTTTAAAAAATGGATCTAGTCCATAAATGAAATTTATGTCAGTTTTGACAATTATTTATTTTCTTTTAGATTGCGTTAAAAGAAAAATTTTATGATTATTATTGCAGTTAGATTTTCTTTAGACCTCATTGAATAAGGGTTTAGTCTGGTGTTATTTTTTGCATCAAAATATGTTCCTCACATCAGTATACTATCTTTAATTGTTTACAATTTGACGCTTTAATAAAATTCGTACATATTTCAGCATCCCTATGTTATAGTTGCTCCTCTGTCTAAGATGTCTCTTCAAGATTTGTCAAGGAAAGTTGAACTTCTTACGCTTATATAATAGTTCTCATCCTCATTGCTTTGGTTTCGAAATGGACAGCATCTGGTGAAAGTGGAGACTAACTGTGTGGCACGTATTGTCTGATATGAAATACCCTTGTCTATGGAACTGGTCTATGCAAATTGATTTCCGGCCAAACTATCTTAAACATTACCTGTGACATTGAGAAAAAATGCAATCTTTATTCATGCGAAGAGAGTAAACGGATCCAATAAGATAACTGGTCTGGAAGTGAGCGAAATCCATGCGTAAAGACATATTCCTTAATTATAATAATTTCGTGTGAAGCGCATTGCTCAATTGTGGTTACCCGACTCTCCATACCTTATTAGAATTTACATCCACAATGATTTTCCGCTCCTCAAATTTTTGTATAATTTCACAGCCAATTTAATAGTATTTATTTATTTCAAATGGCAGATTTTATGATAATTATCGTTAGCCCTTTAGCTGACTACAGGCTTCACAGAGGGGATGAACATCAAAGTGAGAACATTTCGTTTGATAGACGTTTTTGCCGTATGAGTATACGTTGTCCAGGGTGCACCACGTGGAGGTAAGTCTATCGCACACCCCCAATTTAATAGTATTAACTTCGAAAGAGCAGTAAGCGACTCAATATTTCTGAGTGCTATTTTCAAGCCAGCATTTACATGTCAATTTAAACCTATTTTATACATAATTCTTTAAGTTTCTTTATTAATATGAATTGCAATACCAACACACAAACGATTTCAAGATTTCGACTGTACACCGAGCAAATAAATTCCTAAGATATTTTCTGATAATACAAATGCAATATCTCATATATCAAGAAGTTTTATTATTAGTAAAACATTTCTAGATCCCTGAAAGAAAGTTAAAATATACAAAATACAGAATCTCATCAGCCGACATCTTCTATAATAGGTTTGGAGATGCCCGGTACCATCAACTTTTCCTTCTTGGCTTCAAAGAAGGTGTAATGGAGGGTAATCCTATTTGTCCTCATCAAATCGGGGTCGTCGTCAAATTCTGGATCGAGAAAGAAGAAAACCGGGAGGTCAACTTCCTCTCCAGGGTTTAATCGCTGTTCTTCAAAACAAAAGCACTAAAACAGGAAATGGGCCCAATTTAATTTTGGGAAATGCACAAAAAAATGAATAACAAACGCACTATTTCAATAAATTAGGGAAGTGCTTTGCTAGAAAGCCCGACAAATAATGCACGAGAGATGCAATTTGGATCCTCAATTACAACAAACAAAAACTATATTGCACCAAAATAAATAAAAGGTTAGAAAAGACTAAGAACCGGTGCCAGCAACTTTCCTCAAAGCGCTTGAGGAAAGTGGACATTGGTGGAATGACAGGCTACCAACCCGGCTGTCTTGAGGGTGATTGCAGAATTACATGAAAACTTCAATACGAAGTTGATAAGAGACGATTGAATGCACAAACAGACATTTAAATTATAAATCTGTAGGCAAAAAAGCACAGTAAGGCTGTCGGGCCTTTGGTGTAGCCTCATCTTAATTAGATGCATAACTTGAACAGTCAATATTACCAAATTGGGTGTGCGATAGACTTACCTCCACGTGGCACACCCTGGGCAACGTATACTCATACGGCAAAAAAGTCTATTAACTGGCAGTTGACCTCTGACTTCAAACTATCATCACCAGATCTATTAACTGGCAGTTGACTTCTCTATGTCATATTCGTTATATTAACTGGCAGTTGACTTCTCACTTCAAACTACCCTAAAAAAGTCTATTATTCGGCAGTTGACTTCTGACTTCAAAGCGGCAAAAAAGTCTATAAACCGGCAGTTGACTTCTCACTATCGGCAAAAAAATTCTATTAACCGGCAGTTGACTTCTGACTTCAACGGCAAAGTCTATTAACTGGTAGTTGACTTCTCCGCATACGGCAAAAAAGTCTATTAACCGGCAGTTTTCTTCTCACTTCAAACTACCATGACCCCCCTATATGTCCTACATTCTCATACGGCAAAAAAGTCTATTAACCGGCATTTGACATGACTTCAAACTACAATCACCCCACTGTATGTCAAATTCGACTACTTGACTTCAAACTACCATCATCCCACTCTATGCCATATTCGTAAATTCGACCACTTCAACAGTACTCATCTTACCTTTTCTCTTCGACTTCTCACTTCAAACTACCATCACCCCACTGTATGTCAAATTCGACCCCTTCCACAGTACTCACCTCACCTTTGCTCTACTGTCGACTTCTTCCACAGTACTAACCTCACCTTTTTTCTACCTATTTCTCACTTCAAACTACCATCACCCCACTGTATGTCATATACCTCTGACTTCAAACTACCATCACCCCACTGTATGTCATATTTCACCACTTCCACAGTACTCACCTCGCCTTTTTTCTACCTTCAGTTGACTCTGACCCCACTGTATGTCATATTCGACTAAGGCAGTTGACTTCTCACTTCAAACTACCATCACCTCACTTATGTCATATTCGACCCCTTTCACAGTAATCATCTTACCTTACTGTGTCATATTCGACTACTTCCACAGTACTCACCTCACCTACAGTTGACTTCTCACTTCAAACTACCATGACCCCACTGTACGGTAGTTGACTTCTGACTTCAAAGACAAAAAAGTCTATTGATCGGCAGTTGACTTCTGACTTGCAAAAAGTCTATTGATCGGCAGTTGACTTCTGACTTCAAACTACCATCACCCCACTCTATATCATATTCGACTATTTTTACAGTACTCACCTCACCTTTGTCCATATTCGACCATTTCACAGTACTCACCTCACCTTTTTTCTTAAATTCGACCACTTCAACAGTACTCATCTTACCTTTTCTCTTCGACTTCTCACTTCAAACTACCATCACCCCACTGTATGTCAAATTCGACCCCTTCCACAGTACTCACCTCACCTTTGCTCTACTGTCGACTTCTTCCACAGTACTAACCTCACCTTTTTTCTACCTATTTCTCACTTCAAACTACCATCACCCCACTGTATGTCATATACCTCTGACTTCAAACTACCATCACCCCACTGTATGTCATATTTCACCACTTCCACAGTACTCACCTCGCCTTTTTTCTACCTTCAGTTGACTCTAGCTTCAAAGACAAAAAAGTCTATTGATCGGCAGTTGACTTCTGACTTGCAAAAAGTCTATTGATCGGCAGTTGACTTCTGACTTCAAACTACCATCACCCCACTCTATTACTTTAACGGTATCATCACCCCATTGTATGTCATATTCGACTCCTTCACAGTACTCATCTTACCTTTTCCTCTACTTTTGTGTCTGTCTGTCTCTTTTACATCTGTGAATCGCTCTTCCATTCCCATGTCGAATTCTTCTCACTTTAATGTTCCTCCCTTCTGTGAAGCCCGAAATCAACTAAACTGCTAATGATAGCTATCAAAATGCCTCCCATTTGAAATAAATAAATAAATTTTACCAAATGTGTTTAGTATTTCTGCTTTGCTAGGAATAACACGACTGAACTATCGACTTGGAACACGTTGTTCTAACGAAGGAATGGTTGCGAACTCCTCAAAAGACCCCAATGGTGGAACATACTCTTCTGACAATAAACAGATACATTATCATTAGGAAGAGTATTCATTCAATTCCACTGTCCACTCACTCCCCGTACATTGTGCATATCAGCCACAGACAATCGGAACACAGTCGTTAGTCTCGTAGACATTCCAATCAAAGCCCTAATAAAATGAGTGCCAACCAACCTGAATTTTGTTGAAGTACTTCGCAGCTTCAGTCGGCAGAACTGTGTACGTTGCAATTCCAATTATGGGCTTTGAGGTTGGATTTTTTGCCGTGTAGAAGGCCAGAGCTGTTTCTCCTGGTACAATGACCAACTGTGTGTGGGAAAAAGCGAACAAGTCAACCAATGAGAGAGAGAGGGAGAGAGAGAGATAATACACCTACACTACTTTGGGAGGGCTTGAAGTTCCAGGCCATGTGAGAGTAGGTGTCAGCGGAGAATTCAACTGTGACGCGACGTTCCTTAACAGGCTTCATAAGGGCGATGAAATCGGAGACTTCGAATCGAGCACCCTCCGTATTTGAACCAGTACCAGTTTTCTGTAAAAATATAATAAAACTTGAATACAATCTTCAGTCAAATAAGAATGCTCAAGAGGTAGAAATGATCCACTTTTAGTGTGAACACCAGTGGCATATCGGCGTAACACAAATGACTCAAAATCGATGCGTATAGCACAGATTAAGCATTTGCCAGAAGAAAAAAGCGAAAAGGCACAAAAGGGTCCCACAAATGGAATCAAATAGCACTAAGTATAACAAATTTTGGAGGAAGGCAAACAATCTTACTTGACATTCAGATGAAATAAACCTTCATCCTGATGGTTTATAAAAATAATATCTTCTTCAACGAACATGAAATTTAAAACATTAAAATACAGGTATATTTAAATATCTCGGCCAAGTTAGTGAACCACTTTTCGACTAATAAAATTTGAAAGATGCAACCTAATCTCTCACTGTCAGTATTAGCAATCCATATTTAAGGCAATGAAAAGAAGCAAAATACCGATCTGAAATGGTTACTTTCTGCAAAAATCAAGCGACAATTAGGGTCAGCTTGCCGAAAGCTCTACGCGGTTTGAAAGTTAAGAAACGATCTGTCCAGCTGGTTCCCAAAGTCGCGATTTTTACCATTGGTTTACATTTTTAAAAACCCACAGTTCCTAGCTCAGATCACAGGTCTTACAATAGAAAAGACTTTCATCCGGGATTGATCATGTTCGGAAATTTAGGTGATAGGGACAACTACTAATTCGGATCTACACAACACAAATAAACTCAAATATTTGATGACAAAGGTGGTGGGAGCTGACATAATGCTAGAATAACAGAATTCGCTCAAAAATAAATCAGCTGAACAGTATAACCCTGTGATAAGTAGTCTTATTGAGAAAAATGGATGAAAATCTACTAATTCAAAGGACTTACGGCACAATAAATACGATATAGGGGAACACCAGCATATCCTAGACCAAGCATGAAAACACCCATGGCGCTTGCGTAATAGAAGGCAGTTTTATTGACACCTCGTTTAATTTGAGACAGAGGTCGAACAAACTGTCTGCAGAGTGGAGATAATCTCAGCCAAGGAGACATATGCACAGAAATTCTGCATAAAGAAAAATGAAAGAATTTTACATTGAATTTAATAAATAAGCAATACATTCAAGATCAATGAGTTTCCTAGGTTAGGAATTATAACAAATTTAAACTACGGATTCAGGATTCTATGACAACTTTTAATCACACATAAAAAAGATTAATATTATTTATTAGGTTATTTTAAGTTTATACAGGTGACGCTGACCTTGAAAGGTATTATAATTAGCTCTTGGATCCCTACTAACTAAAACAGGATTATCATAAATTTAATTATAGAGAATTGCATACTTTCTGCTAGTATTATTTGTTTGCTTTTAAATTATTTATTTATAAATCCTTATTGTTATTAGTTAAATATGTATTTCAACGAAGTGGAAAAATTAAATTTCATCTTTTGGGTTTTTTATTTAGAAAGTAATATAATGTATAAGTTCGTGTTTTGCATTTTCTATCTAAAAGTGATTAATTAATGGCAATTAAATCAGATCTAAATTAAAATTCACAAACTTACTACCTATGTTTCTACAATCAGCTCGTCAAAGACTTCTATTTACACTATTCGATAACATTCGGTTTGGGACATAATTTAACCAGACCATACATTCATTAATGTCTCAGCTATCAGTGTAAATGGCAAAACTTCAAGTAAGCAATATTCAACTTAATATAAAAGTCTAAACTCATTCATTATGCGAGACATAAATTTAAAATGAATATCGATCAATTATATTCTAATTTTATCACATAATTTGAGTTATTCAAGAATAGCGCGTATGAACCTTAAAGGACTCGCTTTCTGTTTCAAAATAAATTTGTCCAATATTTTTATTACAACTGTCTCTTCGCAAATACTATGCCTATTATTCAAAAGTAACAAATATAATCAATTTATGCCATTCTAATTAACTTCAAGCATATTCTAGTTAAATCATTTTTAGAAAATAAAGGCTTTTTTCTTTAATTTAACTATGATTTCATCTTCTATGTACTTACTGGTAGGGGTAGTTAAAGATACTTATAAATAAGCAACTGGAAATTTTTAAAACCTCAATGATCTCAGAAAACACTTGGGCTGTACTTGCTATTCATATAGGAAATGTTAAACCGATTGCTTCTAATAGGACCAGGACATATATTAATATTGGGTATAGCACGTAAAAGGAAATATTTGGGTATAAAGTGGTTCTAGATTCATAATTGCCTATTTCTAAATAACTCAACGATTGCATGAAACTGTCTAAGTTCAGTTTCCAGTGTAAAAAGTCCATTAAACTTCGCTAGAAAGAAACTGTTGCATAAATGAAATTATTCAAATGCTTCAACTTTTTTGTTTTTGTAATAAATTGGCCCTAGGCTATCTTATGCATTAATTTTTCAAAGGTTTCTTTCTTTTAGACGAAAAGCAATTCTAAATTTAAATACATTTAAAAGCATTAGGCGAATAATTAAATTAGTCAAAATATCATCATTTTTTATAAACTTAATTATTTAACATTGGTTTAAAACATTTCAGTTGACGCAAAATATCAAACAGGGTTTAACTTATCTTCTTTTTAACAAGATTTAAATTGCAATATATCGTGAACGCCAAAGTGTCAAAAGGAGGTAAACTGGTACTATATAGCTTTTCAAAGCTCTTCGTTTCCTATTTACGAATGGGACAAAGTCATTTGTAACCGTAATCAAGGGCCTAGAAGAAATATATAAGCCAATAACAATTTTAAATTATATAATGAATTAATATGGAGAAATTCAGATAAATTGCCTTTTTAACTTTTAAACTTAATTCGGCATTAAATTTCGTGTTTAGGTCATTTGAACATTGGCCTTTATAATACCGCGGACTTCAGTTGCTTTAGTAAATATTTTGCGGATTTTATAGGGGAAATGGGATATCAAAGAGACCTAGAAACGTAAATTATATTTCATTTTTTAGTTTATATGTTGAAAATTTTGTTATATGCCTTATTAAATCTCTTTACTATTTTATTCAGACCTTATAATCTGTATATTTCTACTTTTTCCAGGACCGTACGTATGGAATTGTACACATTAAACAAGTCTCACGTATTCTTCTATTTAATTTTGTTTTCAACAATCATGATCCCTGCTGTCTTGATTAGTGCACTTGGACCGCCAGTTCTCTGTCGAAATACTCATTACGCTACCGACAATCTTCCACCTGGACGTAATCTTCTCAATGGCTTCTTTAAAATTTCTTCAGATCCAGTTTTGCTTTTACAAAAGGAGATCTGGTTTTCTGCAGTTATTCATCGTGAAAATTCAGATAGTTAGGGCACTTACTTTATAATTTGCAATTATTTTATATCTTAAAGTGATACTTATTTTGACTTACAGGATTAGTATCAATTCCCCTGACTGTAAATATTTCGGTCTTATGTCGAACTTATCCTGAAAACATTAAAGACAGCGATGAGTCTAAACCAGATGCCGGCGACATTATTGCAATAGAGAAATATCAAAAGAATATCACTCTGGTTTGCCAGGAAGGAAAGGTAATATTATGGTGCAATGTCTTTATTTTCATTTGCTTATTAACCATTTTTGTTAGCCTCTTCAAAGCCAAAAGTAATTTGGGTTTATGCTCTATTTATTTATAATATTTTCTTTTCATTGCATTGGATTTAGATTTCTCATTACAAATCTCATTTTTTTCCCACACTTTTACTCATTTTAAACTGCTATGGTGCAAATTTTGCGACCTTTCGACAATTTGATGAGTTAGAAAGAGATTAAATGCAATAAAGCTTACATTATGCTTTGCTATTAATTATATTGAAATAAAGTGAAAAATTGCATCACATTTGTCCTTGACATGATCGTTTTTGATTCCATCTTTTATATCACCTGTAAACCCTTCTCGTATGAGTTTTATGAACAGATTTAGAATGGTGTAACGTCATCTGAAACTAGTTAACAATCAACTTTTTATCTATTGGCTTATTTTTACCATTAAAATTGTATTGTCTAACGAAAAATGACTTTAGAGACTCCATTCACAGTGCCATAGTTTACTTCTTAAATAAATCAATGTGACATGTGTTGCCATTCATATATAGGAAATTAAACTGACTTAGGCGAATGATAATTTTTGAAGATTCGCAAAGTTATCATACCATTAAACTTTGGATTGCTTTGAAGAGGTTTTTTGCCTCTTAAGCACCAATAAAACTCCACTTTCTTAACCTTTTATCTTTATTTCAATTAGGTTACAATAATTAATTCATTGTTATGCCCCGAATGGGATACATTTACTTCTGCTTATTTAAAATAACACCTTCACAATTTATCTAGTGTTATAAAAAAATAGAAAATTCGTGGATTTCATTTATGAAAAACCAGTCTTCGAGGAAGAATTTTTACAAGAGAAAATTCACACCGACTGTGGTGATGCATTTTAATGTGATAGTTGTGCAATGGTATGCCGTAGACGCGTTTTAAACGCTGACATTTCAACATGTAACAACGCTATTTTTTCTCGATGCCTGTTGCGTTCCTTTTAATTTTCCATACCATTGAGAAGAGTTTGGCAGGATTGAGTTTACCTTTTTTCACTTGAAAATTGCATCCTCTTCCTTCTGATTGGCTATTTTCAAGGTTAAGCATTAAAAGAATGGCTTTACATCTCTCTCTCTCTCTCTGCGAATTAGCGTTTATATGATTGACTCATATGCTACTCTAACATGTTTGGCTTTTTTTACGATTTGTGCAACTAGCCCTGCAATGAGATCCAACTTCTTCACATAGGCCAACTCAACTGTGCAGTGTACACTTTCAAAGTACGATTTCTTGGTCTACTTGCTGTAAAAGATGACAGCGACACTCCGAATGTTCGGAAAAGTCGAGCTATTCACTCGAGTACTCTCAGATCTTCACGAAAACCTCGACAAATGATTACGCCCCCCGTTAGAGCCGATGAATTTTGGGATAATTACAATTATAATGGTGCTAGTGACAAACGCGTTGATGTCGACAACAGCTTTGAAGACGCAAGTTCGAATTTAATTGGCAGCCAAATCGCTGACGCTGAAGATTCAATGAGATTTAAGCAAGTCGAGTCAAGCCTGGATAACTTTGAAAGGAAGCCCATTAACGAAGACGGCAATTACTTAAAGATCTCTGTTGGCGATGAGAATGCCGATGCTAAATTTGGACCGGTGATGGAGGAGGAGAATAAGGAAACGAATAATCCTGTGATTCCTAACTTTGCTATCCAGGAGATTGAGTTTATAACTCAAACTAGAAATCCCACCTTCAGTTACTATGAAATGTTTTCAAGAGCTGTGTCTTTCATGGCGGCGTTTTATCTATTTGTAAGTTATTGGCATGGAATTATATTATATTATATATATATCTTTTTGGTAAGGTGATTGAACGATTTGACTGACTGGCCTGTTCTATTAATTGGGTACTGTTAAGGAAGAATAATCATTAAAGAAGTTAATTTATGATGGTGGTTACATTTATTACCCTTTTTTAGGTTTAGTATACTTTGAAAAAATATTATTCCAATTATTATTATTATTATTATTCCAAATTTTAATCCAATTTTATACTTTTTTAAAAGAGTTTGTATATTAGAGGCGTGACTGCTGAGTTCAGCTAGAAGCCCTTCAATTAGGGTGCCCATTGAATGACCAATGGCCAAATTGATAATCTGATCGCATATTTACAAATCGTGCTATATTTATTTTTCCTATGTGCTTTGTTTTCAGGATAAAATTTTATATAAATTATTATTGCTATTGTCATTTGCTAATGCTAACTTCCTTCTTTTGTAGTTTATTTTTATTACATCCTTGAACACCTTTCCATGGCAACACTGGACTATAGAACAGAAATGGACGTCGATTACTCTCTTCCTCCTAATACTCTACTACGGTTAGTTTTTTTCCTTATCAAATTATCGCCAATAGCAAAACTCTGTTGCTATTAGTGGAATCAAGGCTCCACCAAGGTAACAACGCAACTTCGTTTGCCAAATAAAAGTGGAGATTGAAGAGGACTTAGAACTAACGCAAATGTTCCATTTCACTATTATTACTAAAATATTGGTTGCTATGAAGTCTATAACGAGTAGAGAGTGATTAAGCGTCTGATTTGCTAAGAGATCGAGCAGTTTCTGGACTACATTTTCACAAGTGTCCAGACCGCTTGACATCAGAAGGTATCATGAAAGTATACTCGCAAGCAACTCACATTCTGTTACTCAGAATCGACTAGGGTGCTTATTCATCCACACTGCTGACAGTACATCGTCCTTGTTACTCCAGCCCGAGGCCGATGGGCATTCTGACCACCGCACCAATGGCAACGATTCAATATAAATTTAGTTCCAATTAATTGTAGGTCTATTTGTCGTTTGAGAAGTTAATGGTCGTTGAGTGCAGTTCATAAAGGGCGTGATATAGTCAAATTTATATTTAAGCTCAATGAACTAGAATAAGGGGCAAAGTTGAAGGAAACGGCACGTTAGATGGTCTGCAGAAACACGTGGATCATTGTTGTTGGATCAGTAAGCTGGGGGTGAATTAATAACATTGGCTTACAAAAAGTTAGTTTGTTACCTAAGGGGTAGATCTTATTTATTTATCTCAAATGGCAGGCGTTTTGATAGTAATCATTAGCCCTTTAGCTGACTTCGGGTTTCACAGAGAGAGAGGAGGAACATCAAAGTGACAACAAGTCGAGAGGATGGGGAGACAGAGTAATGATTCACAGATGCAAAACAGACAGACAGACACAAAGGCAGAGAAAAGGTAAGATGAGTACTGTGAAAGAGGTCGAATATGACATAGAGTGGGGTGATGGTAATTTGAAGTCAGAAGTCAACTGGCGAATAATAGACTTTTTTCCGTATGTGTATACGTTGCCTAGGGTGCACCACGTGGAGGTAAGTCTATCGCGCACTCCAATGTTAGATCTAATGAGTTAATAAATGAAAAGTAAAGAATCAGTGAATAAAAATCAATTAATTGTTATGCGTACACAGTGGTTAAGTATAATTTGGAATTATTTTCAGTAAAATTTGTTTTGGGTGTTGTCAATGGTAAGCTGACATGTTTGTCAATTTTCTTTCGCCTCTGTGAAGATCCGCTTCATCCGCTGATGTACCTTCTACCCGGCTGGATTTCTGGCACTTTGGATAACTTCTTTGCCATCTCATTTTACACCTACCTTCTATTCTTCTGGATTTCCATTTTTGATGCCCT